GGATAGGAGGGGAAGGGAATAGAAGGGGGAAGGAGGATGGAAGAGGAAGGGAATAGAAGAGGGAAGGGGGACGGAAGGGGGAAGAATAGAAGGGGAAGAGAATAGAAGAGGGAAGGGGGACGGAAGGGGGAAGAATAGAAGGGGAAGGGAATAGAAGAGGGAAGGGAATAGAAGAGGGAAGGGGGATAGAAGGGGACGGAAGGGGGAAGAATAGAAGGGGAAGGAATAGAAGGGAAGAGGATAGGAGGAGGGAGGAAGAAGGATAAGGGTAAAAAGTAGAAGTAAATAAAGGTAAGAGTAAAAAGGCTATAGATATAAATATAGTACTATATTAAAGTATTCTATAGATTACTTACTAAATAACTTTCATCTACTATCTAGAAATAATATAACTTCTACTTATAACCCCTTATATAGTCTAATTATAATAAGAAGCAAAGGTATTACTTTTAGAGAGGCGCCTTTGCTTTATACTATAGTAGCCTCAGAGTAAGTATAATACAGAAGCCCTGAGTTCGGCTGAACGTGGACACAGAGATAGTAATAGTGATCCGGGTACGACAAGAGTGTATGTATCACATCACACATTCCGCCCAGAAGCTACCTAGTTAAATGCAGACCAAGGTGATCCTTGACACGCTAGTAAAGGTATCAAGGTAACAATTTATAATAACTGGAGGGACGCAGTCTGGCATTGTTAAGTTCAAGTATAAAGAGAGTCATGTCCAAGAGTCTTCTGGATGAAACGCGTAATAGTAACGTCCCGTAGAAGAGTTCCGCATCACACGTGCTCAAAGTCATTACAATTAGGGGTTGTTGAGAGCTCTCAGCATATATCTATCGCGTTATTCCAACGGAACAGGGCGTGATGGAATGATCAACTGGGAACGACTTGCTAGATAGTACGCAAAACACTCTCTGATCATGATTCCCGTAGCGGCGAGTGTTAATGGTATCAGCTGACAACGCTGCGAGCCGCACAGATGCTCTTCTCATGCATTGCGTCAGACATGCCAACGAATCATAACTATTGAGTCACTCGCGGTAGACCGTCGACGGAATGAACAGTGGAAATGGTATTATCATGTCTAAAATCAGCCAATGTTGCCCCGGCGGCCGCCCCTCTTGGCCCGGTTGACGTGGCCCTGCAGGACCTGCCTCGTCTGAACCAGACTCCTCTTCTGCTTGTACTTGGCCTTGTTGAGTGTCATGAGGAAGTTCTTCTGTCTGGCCTTCTCCTTGTTCGTCGTACTCTTGCCCTCGGCATCCTTCTTGGACCGTCTGATGGCCTGGGTGCTCTTGTGCTCGCCGCGCTCGGGCTTACCCTCCTTGGCCAGGGCGACGCGCTCTTCCTTGGTCGTTTTGCGAAGGCGCGCGGGCGCCTCAATTTGCTCCGCCGTCAGACCGTCGTCGATGTGTCGTGCGAGCGCCTCCTCAAGCTTCTTGGACCTGTTGGACTTGGTGCCCATGGCCTTGTTGACGCTGGCCTCCATGCGCAGCTCCTGCAGCTTCTGGAGATCCGCCGGCGTCAGGATCGACGTTGTCGCAAGCTTGGATATCCTTTGCACCTCGCTCTCGACATCTTCGCCGTCCTTGTCGGCGTCGCCTTCCTTGTCGGCGTCTGCCTCCTCGTTATCGGCTGTGCTCTTTCTCCGCTTCTTCGGCGCAGGCTCGTCCTCGTCCTCCTCATCCGAGCTGACGGCGATCCAGCCGCCGGAATCGTCGCTGTCGACCGACTCGACATCCCAGTCATCCGAGTTAAAGCCGTCGTCCTCGTCCTCCTTCTCATCCTCGCCGACCTCCTCAGGCAGACCCTTGGCCGCGCGCTTGGCCTTCCTCTGCTCCTCCTTCCACTGCTCTAGTAGTTCGAGGCCCTCGATGCCGCCGGCCTCCTGCTCGCCGAAGCGCTTCTTCCTGACCTCGCCAGTCTTGAGACCGATCGTCGCGTCCTTGCCGCGGTCCTTCTTGGCCAGCAGGTCGGCGCCGACCTCACGGAACAGCGACAGCAGGCCCTTAGCAGCCATCATGGTGCCCTTGTCCTTGCTCTTGCGGTACTGCACGAGGTCCTGCAGCAGGGTGTCCTCCATTGCGAGGGGCTGGCGGGCGCAGATCTCCCGGATGGCGTTCAGGCCAGCGGCGGCGACCTCACCAGCAGCGGCCTCGGAAACGAACTCGTTGGCAATCTTCTGCACGAGGGGCTCCAGACAGTCGGGCGGCACGAGGTTGTGGGTGGCCTGGGCGAGGCAGGCGAGGAAGGACGTGACGGACTCCTGTTTGGGCGTGAGGTACTTGATGAACCACGAGTAGAGCGAGACAATGGTTAGCTTGTGCAGGCCGACGAGGCGGGTGACCAGCTGCAGCACGAGGATCCTGTGCTCGAGGACCATCTTGGTCTTCGTGCTCTGGAGGTGCTTCTGGAAGACCTGCTCGGCAAAGCCCTGGGGGTCGTGGAGCAGGTGAAAGGCAGAGAAGTTGAGCGGGTGCGGCTTCTCCTTGCCACGCTCCTGCTTGTGGATCTTGGTGACAGCCTTGCGGTAGGCGTTAGCCTTCTTCTTGGACTTTTTGTTGATGCCGATCTGGTGCTTCATCTTTTGCAGGTCGATGGCCTCCTCGTCGCTGCTATCGTCCTCGAGCTCCTCGCGCTCCTTATCGCCGCCGAGGAAGAAGCGCACGGCGCCTACGACAACCTTCTCGTTGTCGGAGAGACAGGCCTCCTTCATAACATCGACAGTCTTAGCGTCGGTCCAGACCTGGCGCTTCCACAGCTCGCGCGTCAACTTGACGGCCCAGACGGCCTTGGGGGAGGCGCGGTCAGCAGTAATGAGGTTGTAGAGGACGGTCTGAATAGTGCGGTTGAGGGGGTGGTTCGTCGATTTTGAGTTTGCGTTGCGTAGGTCGCCAAGGATCTTTTGGAACAGCAGCGTTCGCAGGGACTTGCTCGGCGACGATACGAGGATGGGGAAGAGCGTGGTTAGCAGCTGAGTCGAGTCGATGACCTCCTTTCTCCTTAGGAGTACGAGACTTCCGACAATCTTCTCGCGCAGTTCAGGGTGTAGGACCTCGTGGTGCTGCAGCAGGATGGCCTTGAGATCGCCGGGAAAGGCCTCGGCATGTTGAGGGTAGCAGTCGGCGACATGTGCGATGAGATCGACAAGGTTGTGGAAGGACTCGGTGTACTCAGGGGTCGCGGTCGTGGGGGAGACGAGGAAGACCTCACGTTGACTCTCGTACTGGCCCCATTGCTGGAGGAAGTTGTCCTCGTACGAGTTGGGGTCGCGGCGGATCTTGTACTGAAGGCTCGCGCTGTGACG